CCCTAAGCTCATTGTTATCAAATTGATTCTGACCCATAGTGTGAACCATAGGACAGGGCAGCACAGCCCCCATGGGTTTCTGAGGCTGTCTGTCGTTACAGGAACAGACAGCCCCCTCGCTTTCCCTTGGGCGGCTGCCCCCTACCATTAGTTGGGTACCCCTCTCCTGATACAGACACAGGAGCACAATCTGACCACAGGCTGTGTCCCTGCCACCTGAGAGGTTTCTGGGTTGCAGGCTCTCAAGGGGAACCTCCGAGTGGCTAGCTTTGAAAGCGTCTGTTGTCCCCATCCCCCAGTACTCAACACTGGGCCTTGGTGGCCCCTATAAAGGACTTGCCAAATAGCAGTAGGCCCTGGTTCTAAAGAGCTTGGGGCATGGGGTATTGGTGGCAATGCATTTATCAAAAAGTTATGTAATCTCCCAAGCAATGAGGTAGAGAAGCCTGCCTAGCGCCCATGAACCATATATCACCCTCACTATAAACAAACCAACCCAAAAAACCCAGCTCACTGGCATTGAATCAATGCTGACTCATAGCCACCCTTATAAGACAGTCGAACTGCCCCTGTGAGTTACTGAGACTCTTTCCCAAGGGGCAGCTGGTGGTTTCAAACTGCTGCCTATGCTGATTGCAACTGAACACGGAAGCACTGCGCCACCAAAGCACCTCCCATCCCCTCTACATGTTTGTCTTAAAACCACCTCGACAGAGGAGAGCCCTCCCCTCAGCTGGGGTCAGTTTCTCAAGAGGCAAGGGAGGGACCATTCAGTTGCTGCCATACAACATTGGGCTAAGGTCACCCCAATCCACAGACACTCCCACCAGAGTGATAGGCTAACCTTACTGGGAAGTCAAGTCAAGATGGGGGGAGGGCCTCTGACCTTAAGTGAGGGATGTGGATAGCCTGACTATCAGAGAGTATGGAGAGGCGATTAAAGTAGATTACAATGATAAATCTGACTTGAATGGTTCAAACCTGGTCATTGGAACTCTCTTTGGACATACTTTGAGCTTGATGTGGCTTTTAGTGTTTTCTAGTTTTGTTGTTGTTTTTCCAGATTGGGTCCTGTCTCTGCTATATTTTGTTGTTGGTGGTAGTGTTCTTGATTCTCTATTATGTGTCTTTCTATGTTTTTCGGTATATAAAACCCAGGTCGGATGAATCTGTAGAAGCAATAACTAGAATGAGGGTTCCTGGGGGGTATGTTGGGGGAGAGGGAGAGGGGTTAGGGAGCCAATATCAAAGGTACAAGAAGGAAAATATTTTAAAATGATTATGGTAGCGATTGTACAATGCTGCTTGATATGACTGAACTATTGAAGGACATGATGTCTGGATTATGTATGTCCTAATAAAATTATTTTGCGGGGAAGAAGATAGGGCGAGAGGGCCACGTATGTCTCAGAGAAGGCATTTCTATTTCTGCTGGTGGATAATTTTTTTTTTTCATTTAGAAGAGAAGCAGCTTGGTGGAAATCATCTGAATTGGAGAAGGCCTATCAAATCAAGCAAGGTCAAAAGACAAATACACTAGAATAAATAGGAGTTTGGGAAAACAAATTTGAGACCTGCTAGGGATCCGGGGGTGAAGGCATCCATGCCTATGTTTAGCCTGGTATTCAGCCAGCCTGTTTGAAGCTGCTTGTACCCTGACCCAGTATTATACAACGAAAAGCCAAAACTAACTTTCATGTGTTTCCTGTGAGCTAAAGGAGGAAATACCCTCAATGTTTTTTGTAAATCAGAATGAAGGTGTCTAATACAGTGGTTCTCAACTTTCCTAACATCGGGACCCTTTAATATAGTTTCTCATGGACTGGTGACCCTCAATCATAAAATTATTTTCGTCGCTACTTCATTACTGTCATTTTGCTACTGTTATGAATTGGGCGACCCCTGTGAAAGGGTTGTTCGACCCCCAAAGGAGTCACAACCCAAGGGTTGAGAACCACTGGCCTAAGAGGACCCTAATTGTCTAGCTACTTAAAGCCCAGTACCAACAAGTCAGCAGCCCTGCTGGTTGTTATGGTTACTTGTTGGGCTGTGATCCACACGGTCAGTAGTTCAAAACCACCAGCACGAGGCAGATGGGGATTTCTACTCCTGTACAGAGGTACAGTTTCAGAACCCCACAGGGGCAGTTCCACTCTGTTCTGCCGGGTCACTATGAGCTGGAATCTTCTCAGTGACAGTGAGTTTGGTTTTGGATGGCTGTCCTATTGATTCTAACCCCTGCGGACCACCCTGTGGGGTTCTCACAGCTGGGGGGTTCTGACTACCAACCTGCCCACCTGAAGCCCACTGCGCCACCAGGATGCCTTGGTTTGGCTGCTTACAAAACCAGACCCACTGGCAATCAAGTCGATGCAACCCTACAGGACAGGGTAGACCTGCCCCTGAAAGTTTCTGAACCTGTAACTCTTTACAGGAGTAGAACAGCCCTGTCTTTCTCTAATTTTGCTATCTAGTACCACAAAATATATATAAGCCAACTTAAATGATCACTAGGTTTTTAGGTTATGTTTAAATTCAAAATACTTCCTCTGTCAAGAGCCTTTTTTTCTTAAGCAAATGGTTCAAAGTTTGTTTTCATGGACTTTCCATGTAACACGGTCTGATATTGACAACATGGAACAGGTGGGGCTTCCTGGTGGTTCCCTGGAGCTGGACAAACCAGGACACCTTGTCCTTCTCAGGAGACAAAGACCTCCAGCAGCAGAAGCGGAAGGGAGAGCCTGGATTTAGAAAAAACCACCTTGCTTTGAAATAACCTCTGGCTTACAGAAAAATTGCAGGAACAGCATAGAAGACAATGCCGTCCACCCAGATAGTCATCGGGGTTGTGGACTTGCCACATATGCTTTATTCTTTTCTCCCCTCCCTACCTGTGCATGTGCGTGCACTGCAGGCGTGCACTCATGCATATTCTTCCCTGAACCATGTGAAAGTAGTTTGCATATCCGACAGGGCTTCCAAAAGCTCATGGGAAAATGAATGGAAAGCAACTGGTAATTAACCATATAAAAGGAAGAAAGGTAATTGAATTTTCCCATGAATCCCTGAAGCCCCCTCGGCTGTCATGATGTCGTCACCCACCCTTGACACTAATGCTTCAGCAGAGATTGCCAGAGAACAAGCGTATTCTCACACCTAACCCAAGCTCAGTTACCCAAGTGAGATATGTCTTAACAAGGAGACAGTATTTCCCATCGCAGCACCAGCTCAAGGTCCAGTTTTTCCAGTTGCCCCACTGAGCATAACCGACCGACTTGCACCCCAAGCAGGCTGCGAGCAGGGAAAGCAATGTCTGAGAGACTAGAAAAAGCAGGCGGGTGTGTGGTTGGAGGGAGAGATGGAGCTCCTAGGGAAAGATCGCTAGTGAAATGCCCGAGACTGGACTTACCTCCCTCCATGCCGCCGAGCCGTGAAAGTGCCCGAATGGACGCCACCAAGGCCACCAGTGGAATTTCAACATGAACTTTGGCGCTAGGCTGTTATTGCAGATTTCCCAATGCAAACATGCCCCAGATCAAACAGTGCCCCTACAGCTTTGTCAGCACAAACCCTCAAATCGGCCTCTGCTCACTGCCAGGGGCTTGTGACTCCTCAGCTCAAGTTCTGGTGCCACTGCCGCCAGAATTGCCATGTCCGCTGGGGAAGCTGTGAGCTTGCAGAGCCCTGGCTTCAGGGACCGCCCTTGCTGAAGTCACCACAAGGGTCTCCAGGGCTCTGGGTGATGAGGTGGCAACCATGGGACACACAGTGCTCCCCTGAACTCAGAGGCTACACACCCACCTGCCATGTGTCTCTTCTCGTACAAAGTGCCGAGGGCCAGCTGCTTGTACCCAGCCTTGCCCTGCTCTGCTCTGCTGGCTTGGCGGGGCTGACCATCCTGGGGACAGGGGACCAACCCCATCCCCAGAGAAGTGGAGGGGAACATGTGAGCCTAGTGCAGGGAACCAGGGAGGAGGACCTTCCTGTGGTCAGCGGGCCGTGCACTCTGACAGGAGCGTGCCATGCTATCTGCTGTCAGAGGAGCAGTTCTCTGGAGTCCATTCAGGCTCCTGGACACCCACTGGGTTGTGATTAAGAACCAACCTCTGCACCGAGTCCTGGCTGTGTGTGTGCATCCCCCACCCACCCACCCACCCCAGTTCCCAGTGGGGAAGTTGCTGGAAAGGGGGCCGGGTCATTAGGCTTTTCTCACGAGGTGCCTCAGGATAGGCTGGGCCCCTCCACCTTTCAGATTAGTAGCCAGTTACCCTCACCATTCACAGACTCCCCCACTTCCAGAGACGTCAGGACTATGGTGGTTAGTCTGTATGTGGTGGTGGTGGTGGTTTAATTTATCCTTTATTTTAGGATCTAAAGCATTACCCACGTGTCTGGGACTGTCCAAATGACCACCTTATCCCAGAGCTTGCGCCCTGAATTTCCTGCTCTAAGTTTGGTGGTGTCGCCCTCTTGAGGCTGCCGAAGGGGAAGCCAGCCTCCCTGCCTGTAGGGCCTGTTGGGATGTCAGCTTGGCTCTGCTGTGAGGAATCCTGACATGTGAAGGGCTGTCGCCAGCACTGGGTTTCTGGCTGGCCTAGGACGCAGCCACTTTGGCGAGTGCTGTATTCGTTCTGAGTCTTCAGTGTGCATGCAGTGATGCTGGCTCTGCAGATGGGGTCCTGTCCCAGCCGGCCCTTCCACTCCCTGTCTCTGTCTTACACACACAATGCCCGACACCAATCGGGCTTGGGCCCTTAATCTCTCTGGGGAAGCAGTCACTGGCTCTCCCTTCTACCACTCACTGTCCACCACATCTAAATGAGTCCCCACCTCTGCCTATAGCCATGTCCCCTTCAGTATGGCCTGGTCTTTGTACCTGCTGTGTAAGGTGTCATAAAAGGCTGATGAGAAAACACACGGAGACTGGCTGTGAAGTAAACGGTCCCCATTTGTGTTTAAAGAGTTCGTAGGTTCAGATGCCCTGGTGGCATAGTGGTTGCCCGCTGGGCCGCTAACCACAAGGCCAGCAGTTCAAAACCACTCCCAGCCACTCCTCTGGAGAGACGGGGCTTTCTCCTCCTGTAAAGAGTTACAGTCTTGGAAACCCACAGGGGCAGGTCTACCCTGCCCTATAGGGTCACTCGGAGTCAGAGTTGACTTGATGGCAGTGAGTTTGTGTTGTTTTGCTTATTGTTTTGAGGTTCGGATGCAGGAAAGACCTTGAAGGAGACACTGGCCAGTTTTTAACCCTGGGAATGCGAGGCAGTGGAGACGGTGCTCACAAGGGGGCGCCAAAAAGTTTTCGGGAACATGGAATTGAAAGATACGGGAATTTTCTTCCACAAACCTTTTGAAGCCCTCCTGTACTACTCCATTGGAGTTCTTTTTGGTGAGTGTGTATTGATTTGTCTGGTGTCTGGTTCTGCACCATCTGTCAAAAACCAAACCAACCTCACTGCCTGGGAGTCCATGCTGACTGAGGTTCCAAGACTAACGTTATATGGGGGTAGAAAGCCCCATCTTCTATGAAGTGGCTGGTAGTTTCAAACTGCTGGCCTTGCAGTTCACAGTCCAACATGCCAGCCTTAGATGGTGTGGATAATCCGAGACCCTTGACTATTAACCAAAAAATTGGCAGCTCGAATTCCCACGCAGATGGCCTAGAAAAGCCTGGCGCCCACTAACCAAAGAATCTACTTTTGGAAAAAGTAGCACAGTCCTCCCCTGACACGTGGGTGACCTCCAGCTAGGCCAGCTTGATGGCAGCTGGTGTTTTGACATATCAGTCGGTCATTCCTTTAATCAGAAATGTGTCCTGCATGCATCCATTTCTGATCTTGCTAACCCGTTATTGGTAAGAGAAGTTGACAGTCCTACCTAAAACTTTGACATCTGACCTCTGACTAGAGGCCCAGACTCAGAGTGTCTCCCACCCCCACTCCATCCCCCAGAGCAGCACCTTCTGTCACAGACTGAGTTTGCCCCCCTTTCACAGCTTACCTCCCACGCAGAGTCTGGTCAGGTGACACCCCGTCCCTTCTCCCTACCTCAAAGACTCAAGGAGATGAAGTAAAGCAGACACCTATACATCAGTTGGGCCTAATTCACACCAGCATTACCATTTTAGTTTTACACAGCATTGTTGTCATCATCATCATTATTTTTGCTAGATTGTTAAAGATTGGATGTTGGGGACATTTAGGATTTTTTATACATATTAAGGGAGCCCTGGTGGTGTGATGGTTACATATTGAGCTGCTAGTCTGAAGGTCAGCAGTTTGAAACCACTAGCTACTCCACAGAAGTAAAATGAGGTTTGCTATTCCTGTAAAGAGTGACAGTCTCAGAAACCCATGGAGGCAGTTCTACCCTGTCCTATACCCTGTCCTACAGACTTGCTGTGACTTA